ATAGAATAGAATAGAACAGAACAGAACAGAACAGAACAGAACAGAAAAGAACAGAACAGAACAGAACAGAACAGAATAGAATAGAATAGAATAGAATAGAATAGAATGAGTTGGAAGCAGAGGTGGGATCCTACCGGCGTGACAACTGGTTCGGGGAGTGCGCGCTACCGGCTCCAGTGAGATTTACTTTCTCCAGCTGACGAGCAGCACTCAGCAGTGCTGCGCAAAGCAGCTGAGGAGGTAAAAGCATAGGATAGATGACAGCCTAGAGCCTGGGCAGGCGGATGGGCTGACCAGACAGTTGTCGCAGCGAACTGGTTCGGTGTCAGCTGCTCTTCGGATGTTCTGGTTCTATAGAACCGGGCCAAACTGGTGGCATCCCACCCCTGGTTGGAAGGGATCTTGGAGTTCTTCTAGTCCAGCCCCCTGCTCAAGCAGGAGAACCTATACCATTTCAGATAAGTGACTGTCTAGACTCTTCTTAAAAACATCCAGTGATGAAGCACCAACAATTCCACTGGTTAATTGTCCTCCCTGTTAGGAAATTTCTTAATTCCAGGTTGCTTCTCTCTTTGATTTGTTTCTAACCATTGTTTCTTGTCCTGCCCTCTAGTGCTTTTGATAACAATTTGACCCCCTCTTCTTTGCGGCAGCCCCTCAAATACTGGAATACTGCTATCATGTCACCCCTAATTCTTCTTTTGTTTAGAATAGCCAAATCCAAATCCTGCAGCCGTTCTTCAAATGTTTTAGTTTCCATCCAGCAGTATCCCTCACATGCCTTCCACAGAGTAAATCCCATCTTGGCCAGGTTTGATAAGTCCAAGTAACCTGCTTACTTCTGTGTACCAGCAGTATACTGTGGCAGAATATTTGGTCTTTTAATTTATTCATTTGTTTTGTTCTTTTAACAGGAAAAAATGTAAATCTACAAGGTCAGTAGCCCCAGAACTGGAAAAAAGTGTCTCACCCTTGTCCCTTGTGTTGTGCATCCTGGTGTTGTGTCAGAGGATGAGAAATAAAAAAGAATCAAAGAATCAAAGTCCCAATTTTGCAGGACATCTCTGAAAATTCATCTCAAAACTAAAAGAGTTAATTTTCTAGAAAGTAGTTCATATTGCCTGTTTCAAAAGGTGAGAATTATTTTAACCCCAACTAGCCATTCAATAGTTTTAGACTAAAAATAAATTGCAGATAGGGTTAGGCTGATGTTTCCTCAATGCATTTAACATGGGTAAGTGTACTGAATGAAGAGGACCAATTTCTAGCTTCAGGGTCCCAATTATGTTTTATGAAATGTTTTTCATACACATAATTAACTTCAAATCCTTTTTGTTTTTAGAAGTATGAAATTGAATATGATTGTTAGCATTAAATTTGTGGGAGGTATTCTTAGACCATGTAACATGCCATACTAGTTATAATTAAGCATCTCCGGTTGCTTTGATGAAGACATCATCAAAAAGCAGTACTTAGATTGATCAACAGAGACTGCTTCGTCCATCCCATAAGATGCTGGCAGAGTCACCAGATGGCTCAACCAGGGATACTCTGCCTCAACCTTCAATAAAGAGCAAATATCTGAGGAAGGCAATCTTGTAAACAGAAAGAAATATTGGACAGAGACATGAGTATTATGATTCCTAGATCAGTGCTTCTTAATCTTGGCAATTATAAAAGGTGGCTGGGGAATTCTGGGAATTGAAGTCCACAGCTTCAAGTTGCTAAAGTTGAGAAACATTACCCTAAGCCGTAATCTCAGGCATACTTATTCATTGATCACCCAAGATTAAATGGGGTCTGGACTGAGGTGCAAACTGCACTGACCTTAGCATTTAATCTCTTTGGACTTGGTTTTTGGCAGATAACCTTTTGCACTCTTTCATCTTGATCTCTTATTTACTAAGGACTTTGGATTCAGGATGTCTTCCTTGTATGAAGTCCTAAGAACTGTACCTGGGAGTAAGAGAAAGCAAGGCCTGAAATGGAGAACATCACTTCCCCAGCTGACATTAACAGATACTGTGGAATCTGCCATGAAATATGGACATTGTTAGCTGGAATATCTTCTATCTTCCATGCTTGGAGTTCCTCTGTAGAAGCCTGGTTGGGAGTAAAAGAAGACATGTTGATGATGGAGCAACCAGTCCACATTAATGCAGAAGTTAGAATGCAGTGGGGAGAAAACTTTCATTCTTAAAATTATAGCAGGGCTCTTCTTTTGGGCCCACTGAAGAATTATATACTTACTATTTGGACTGAAATAAAGTCATTATTTCAAATGTCAAATAAAGCATGAGCAAACTCCATTTTTATTAGCAAGGTGTGGCATTGCTTCTGAGATGTTCTTAATCATCATATAGGGAGAAGGAATGAGGTTTATCTTAAAATCTAAAAAGGGTGAACAGCAGTGGTGGGATTCAAATAATTTAACAACCAGTTCTCTGCCCTAATAATTTCTTCCAACAACCAGTTTACCACACTACTCAGAAAGTTAATAACTGGTTTTCCTGAACTGGTACGAACTGGCTGAATCCCACCATGGTGAACAGTAATTACATTACTCATTGGGCTGTGGGAAAATGTCAGGAATCCAAAGAAATTGGGAGTTGACAAAAAGATTGGTCATTGAAAGTAACACTCCTAATCATTTACATTCTATTGGTTATCCAAATTGCTACACCATTATGCATCATTCACCTTCTTTGTGCACACCTCATAAAGTTCAATAGATTTACAGTAGAGTGCAATTAATTACAGCAGGGAGCTCTGGACAAAATCAGTGATTTTATAAATAATAAGAACAGATATATATAATGAAATGAAATACTACCAAGAGAAAATTAAAAATGGGCCAAATCAGATGGCATCAGTGGCAATGTTTTACCATCCTGAGATATGCTAATGAACTCTTGGTTAATCACAGTCTTATAACCTAGATTCCCCATTCCTCTGGGTGCAATGCACATAACTTTACAAAAATTAAGATGCAATTACTTAAAAGTTCTGATTTTTTTGCCCAGTCCAGAATATGATTATTTGCAGGTAAAGGTTGTTTCAATATCCAACACAAATAATTAAAATATGAATGAATAATGAATGCACCAGCATGGGATAAGTTTTCTCTCAGATGTTGTTCTATTATCCTTTATCATTGGTATAGGTTAGACTCCAACAACCTTTTATAGATCACATGTGTATAATATGTGTTCACACTGCAGCTTCTGTAAAGTATTAGAAACCTAATGCCCAACAAGGGAACAATTTCTGTATGAAATATCCAATTTTTGCAATTTGAGAGATCTATTTCTCTACATGAAAGACAAAGCTTTTAGAGCTTCAGAGCTTAGGGGAAATAAAAGTGAGTGATTTGAGTTTATTAGAGAAGGCGTTGTGTATAGAAAGTGTATAGAGAAATATTTCTCCCTCTTGCATAATACTAGTTTTCGAAAACCTGAAGTGAAATTGATTGACAGGAGAATCCAGCCAGTCAAAAAATATGTCTTCATTCAATTGATGCTCTAAGGCTATATTGATCGTCATTTGGCTTACTTTTCTTTAGTTGATTCAATAATGTTTCCTTGATGCTCTTGTTAGATACAAAATTCCACTGAACCTCAGGGTCATTTTTCAGAGTAAGGATCGACTTCATGTCAAGACTTTTCTTGAATCCATCATTTCAAGACTTTCTTTTAAAATTTTGATTAACTTCAATAGGAAATTAACCAGTGGATTTACTTAGGAATCCAACAATAGACTATCAACAATTGGCTGCAGGGCTTGGTTCCAAGCCTACTTGGAATATCTAAATAGCAATAGACTTATATACCGCTTTACAGTGCTTTTCAGCCTTCTCTTCTGACCCAACCCTGATACCAGCAAGAAAATCTCAAACAAACTCAGTAACTCAAACTTTCACAGCTTTAATCTACAAATAAACTTCTTTGTAGATAAAAGATGGCTTGCAGCCAATTAGTCCAACCAGAAAAGCCTTGACAGAATTCTTCAGATAAGCCGGAGTCTCTACACACAATGCTGGGTTCTTTGAATGTTTTTGCTTTCTGCAAAAGCAAAAACCCTTTGAAACCAGGCTTATATTCCCTGAAGGGAGGGTCCATTACGTTGCATTCTTACTCACAAGTCGCCTGTGCTGCTCCAGCTGTTCTCTTCTATGAATCATCCTCCGCTCATGCACACTTAGCACAGGCTCCTCAGGAACCTCCTCCTCACTGCTGCCAGCTAACCACAACACCTTCTCTAAGCAGTTTACAATGTCAGTATATTGCCCCCAACAATCTGGGTCCTCATTTTACCGACCTCAGAAGAATGGCTGGCTGAATCAGAATCAAACTGCTGGAAGTGAGCAGTGAGTTAGCCGGCAATATTGCATTCTAACCACGGCCAGCAGTTAGCAAAAGTAGTCTGCAGTAGTGCATTCTAACCACTGCGCCATTGCAGCTCATATAAATCCTGATATATTTAATTTTTTTAAAAAGTTATTGTGCTTCAATCCTGGATCTATAGCCTTTGTATAGAATGTCAGATTGCTTAGTCTTATACGTGGTTTGGTGGTATCTTCTGTGGTCTTGGCAAACATTTATTGAAATAAAAGGCTCTGTTTGCCAAACCTCAACAATAAATTCTATCAATAATGAATAAATGCTCAAATAAATCAACGGGACTGATTTTCAACTTAGAAGATGAGATTGGCCAGGCTCAAATTCTCTTCTGAGAAGTTGGAAGCAGTTTAAAAGGCTTTAGATGACATATAATAAAGCATCAAATATTTAGAAAAAATAGGGACCTTTTTCAGTCTCACAAGATTTCTAGGAGGAAGTTTAATTCTTGCCAGGTAGCCTTTTGCTCAACTTTTCGTCTTTTTTATATTCATCTATTTGAAGTCAGAATTGAGTTTTCTATTAAAAGAAAGAGACTATTGTATCTAGCTACCCATGTGTTTATCCATTCATCTGTTCATCAAGCTGTTTATTTTTCCATAAACTGATATGTTTATAACGCAATCTAGTGCATATTTATCCAGAAATAATCCTCCTGTGTTATGCTCAGTAGGTTTTGATCCCAGCTAGACAAAGGATCATAGCCCCAGAATGCCATTCGTTTTACTAGTCCACATATTCAATTCAACAAAGCAACCAAATAAATAAAACCTAATACCTTCCCTATTAATGGAGGGCAAATTTAGGCATAATGCAAATAAATTGATATTTTTCATGGTTGCTGCCAAGTTTGAAAAGGCCTTGGTCAAGCTATCATGAAGGCCTTCCCAATGTTTGCTGTGGGGCCCATCCATTTGATCTTACAATGACGTAGCACAAGTGGCAGAAATTGTCAGAAGTCCAATGCTGAAAACAAAAAATGAAGGCAAAGCAATGCAGTAATGAATGTCATCTGAATTTTCTCAGAATATTCTGAACATAATCGTGGAGTGAGCATTGTGATTCTCTTGAGGGTGTTGAGCCATAAAATGAAATATTTAAAACAATAAGGCTGGAGCCAATGACTGTATACATTTGCTCATGTATGACAGATGATCGACTTGCATTTGATGCATTCTCAAGAAAATGTGCTTAGAATTTCATCCAAACTTTTACTGATGACAGCAGGAGAATTATATGTATATGACCTCTTTTGTTCTGATTTCTGTGTGACTTAGAAGTTCCTAACTTGTGGTATATCAATTGTTGTATTTGCCTAAAAATCTTTGAATAATGCTTGTAATATGAAGGTCTCATTTGTTTGCAGCCTAATCTTATCCCTATGGTTTTTTGGGGAGAAAACAAAATAGATTTATTTCAGTAGCTGACCGAATAGAAATAAAAAAGGCATATATATTCAAAAGACAACTTACTTGTGTTAGGACAACAGTGTATGAAGCTCCAAAATCTAGAAGGCCAAGCTTCAGGGCAGATACTTCTGCTTTCATTTGGAATTTTGCATTGTTGTACCTTAATATTGAAAGCAAAAACAGTAGTTCCTGGTTAGCTTCTCCTAGGTAGAGCCATTAAAAATATCTTTAAATGATTGGGAACAATGAATAATTGGAGAGATGTTTTCAATCTATAGTAAGTATGTACAAGGTTTCTTAGGAACCAGGTTTTCGATCAAAATCTATTGCACACTATACTTTAAATTGCCATTATTGTCTAATCATTTGTTTCCTGGTACTGTGGTGACATGAAATCTTCTATTTTCTAGAGTTATTTCAGCCCACTGGCCAGTGTACATATTGTCTGGGACTGAAGGAAATTTTAATTCAACTTTGGAGGAGTAGCAGGTCCCCTATCAATGTAGCAGAATATTCAATAGCAGGGTGGGTACATCAGACACATATTCTCCCAGAAAAAGGAAGAGAATGTAGTTCATTGTTTTGCAGGGAAATGTTCCTAAGTTCAGTTAGAAAGCTTTCTGGTTAGTAGACCTAAATGGACAGCAACAGTGATATATGACACTGGCCAACAGTTTTGAAGGACAACTGTAGCCTCCACTGATATACTTTGTTTAACAAACATCTGTGCATCTCTCCTAATGTTTCTCCCAGCAGAATGTCTCTGGTTTTCTCTTTTCAAATATAGAATGATTATAATGACAAACATAATCTGCTAGAAAATGTAGCCCTGTATCTTCCTGCAAAGAATCGAATATCCAATATCCTTTCCTGTACAACCTAACCTTTTCTTTTGGTAGGCAAATAGAAGCAGTGAATTGTAGGATAAAGTCTCCCCTCCCCAATCTTCATAATTTTCTTTACCTCTTGTGAATGAAGGACTGAATTATGTAAAACAGTTGACGTATTTGGAGGAAATCATGTGAGGAGGAAAAAGGATTCTAAATGAGAGACATGAAGCTGCTGTTTTATTTGGAGGACAGAACATTTATCTAATACAGTGCACCTGGACAGTGGTGACTTTATAGAGATTATTTTGTGTTATTGAATACTTAATTATTTTAAACGAATATGTGTGAGGCTGAAATTATGAGGGCCTGTAAGGACATTAAAGTCTATGCTTTGCCCTATGACCCTCTTCCTATCCTTTCTAACCAGCTGAATTCTTTTTGTGCAATGGAACTCATGAATATTCCATGTATCCATTGCTGATTAAGGTTCAAGTCCATCTTCAACCACAGAAGTTCACTGAGCGCACACACACACACACATAGTTCCTCAGTGAACTTTTGTGGTTGAGGATGGACATGAACCAGGATGTCTTAAGGGAAATTATAGGCTATAGGGTCCCTATTTATCTCACATGCCAGGATTATGGTGGAGGATACCAGGTAAAAGTATCCTCCTCAAAGATAGATAGTAACTATTTATCTTCACTAATAACTATCAAACAATTATACCAAGCAGGAAAAAGGAATCCAGATGTATAAAAACCAAGAGGACTTCTGGGAAATGATATTTGAGACCTTCTATTACTCAACCACTATTTTAGCCTTACCCAGCATTTATCAAGGTCAACACAAAAGTAAAAAGAAGACTATTGCCTTGGTGGAGCAAGACCATCTATTAAATGTACAGCTTCTTCCCAGGACTCTCTTTCCCTAGAGTCTGTAGCCATTCATTCATGAAAAGTTATAAAAGTGAGTCTGAATATAAATAGATATGGTCAGACAGAACCAAAATAATATTTCTAGTGTGGACAAAACGGAGGACCCTAAGCAAATAATCAAAGCTCACTGCTATGTTTTCTTAGACATTACATACTAGAGGGGTTCTCCTTTTGAAAGTGACACACTCCTACAGACAAAGAGATACACTCATATTTATACATTTCAGAAAGGAGAGAGAAATAATGCATGAATAAGTAATAACATAATAGATCTCAGGTTACTTTCTGACCTGTTATGTACAAAGAACAATGGTCTTAGAAAAAAAACTATTTGCATATAGAGATGGAGTGGGAATGTTCTAATAAAAAATTACGTTGGATCACTGCAACTAGACTTTGCAAGGCCACATTGTTTTTATCTTAACTGTTCCATTCATCTGAACATTGATTTTTCCCCACACTAGCATGAATAGGCAACCTTTGCAGGCCTTGGATGAATTTAAAATTTTTCTGCGAGCAATTAGACTTGTGTGTTTATTTATTTATTTATTTATATTTGTCAAAAGCTTACAATACAACAGAAACAAGAATAAACATAAGTTTAAATACAAGAAATAGGAACTAATAACTGGGGACAATAGGACAGGGACAGTAGGCATGATTGTGCACTTATGCACACCCCTTACAGACCCCTTAGGAATGGGGTGAGGTCAATAGAATAAATAAACTTGTAGTAAGGACTATCTGTCCCTTCCCTGCAGCCTGATGTTTGGGGTATAGAGAAAAGAAAAGAAGGATATCAGAAATTGTCAGCTTTCTCAGACAAGAAACCAACACCATAAGTAATAATACCCCCTTTATTGTAAGGTTATAGTAACAGAATCTTGCAAGTCTGAAATAACCCCTTCTCTCCCATGCCTTTCTTTCCAGACAACTAAGGAATATTCCTTTGGAGATACTAGCTTCACCTCCATCCCTCCTTTGGATTCATTTCCTTTGGATTTCATTTCTCAGATTGATGTCTAGGCTGTGGATCTTCCTCTGGTCCCCCAAGGTTATTCTCACAGCACGTTACAGAAATGGAATGATTATTCCCACAAACTTTGCCTTTGCTTGAACTGTGCTTCCAAGAAACAGCTCTTAAATAAAAGTTTCTCCATTTCTGTTGTGTGTTAATAAATCTAAGATACAATACCAGTCAGAAAATAGAACTTGACTTAGAGTCGGGGGAAAATGCATAGGAATTTTCATAGAATCCTGCTATCAAGTCAGTGGTTGGATTCAACTGGTTTGCACCAGTTCGGGACAACCGTTTGTTAACTTTCTGAGCAGTTTGGTGAACTGGTTGTTTGAAAAAATCATTAAGGCAGAGAACCGGTTGTTAAATTATGTGAATCCCACTACTGTATCAAGTCCCATTTTACAGGACATGAACAAGGAAGCAAGAAACACAGAGGCTTAAATAAGGAGTTTTAATGCAAGAATTAAGGGTAAGGGTAATCTAGGAAAGTAAAATACAAACCCTTAGCACACTTAGAGAGTTCACTAAGGCACAGTCTCTGAACATTCAAATTTCCTTCAAATTTCTTCAAATTTGAAAACCTTCAAATTTCTTCAAATTTGAAAACCTTCAAATTTCTTCAAATTTAAAAACCTTCAAATTTCTAGGTTCTATCATACCACAAGACCTAAAATGGATACCTAACATCAAAAACGTCATTAAAAAAACACAACAAAGAATGTTCTTTCTACGCCAACTCAGAAAGCTCAAACTGCCCAGGGAGCTGCTGATACAGTTCTACAGAGGAATTATTGAGTCTATCATCTGCACCTCTATAACTGTCTGGTTTGGTTCTGCAACCCAACAGGATAGACACAGACTTCAGAGAGTAATTAGGATTGCAGAAAAAACAATTACTACCAACCTGCCTTCCATCGAGGACCTGTATAATGCACGAGTCAAAAAGAGAAAATATTTACAGACCCCTCACATGTGAAAATATTTACAGACCCCTCACATCCCAGACATAAACTGTTTCAATTCCTACCCTCAAAACGATGCTATAGAGCCCTGCACATCAGAACAAGTAGACACAAGGACAGTTTTTCTCCAAACACCATCACTCTGCTAAACAAATAATTCCCTCAACACTGTCCAACTATTTACAAAGTCTGCACTACTATTACTATTAATCTTCTCATCACCCCTTATCATCCATCCCCTCCCACTTGTGACTGTATGACTGTGACTTTGTCACTTGTATCCTTATGATTTATATTGACTGTTTTCTAATATGATTTGATTGCTTATTGTACTCTATGATTATTATTAAGTGTTGTACCTTATGATTCTTGACTCTTGACGAATGTATTTTTTCCTTTATGTACACTGAGAGCATTTGCACCAAGACAAATTCCTTGTGTTTCCAATCTTACTTGGCCAATAAATAGAATTCTATTCTAGAATTCTATTTTGAATCTCTTCTTTTGAATCTCTTTTTTTGTAACCTGGACTGAGCTGCTGTTTATGATATAAACCACTAATGAACTCTTCTCCCTTTCATTGGTTTCAATGTCTATAATTTCTCTTATTTATTTCTTATCTCTAAGAATGTCTCACACTCACCTTCCTCTTGGCAGGGTCCTGTAATCTGAAACACCATAACTTTTGTTAACAGTGATGAACTCCTCCTCACCAAGAGTGATGCCGACATCCCATTCCAAAGTATTAATGAATCTGTAAAAAAAACTTGATTTCATCATGACAAAAAAGGAATAAAGCAAAAAAAAAAAAAAAGCATCCAATAGATGACTGGAAGCATATAGTTAAAGAGGGCTTCATCTACATCTCCAGTTTTGAAGTTAAAATTGCTAACCAAAAACCCACAAACTGATAGGTGTTTCCATATCCTTATATAGGTGTTATATACTCTTAAAATAGTGCAGCATTATGCCTTTCCATGGAAGAAAGTGAAAATTGTTTGTACTTTCACCTAAAAACATTCAGAAGAACATTAATTAAGGGGTGGGACTATGGGTGAAGAAAGAGAGGGGGAGGGGGAGGGAGATAGAGAGAGGGAGGGAAAGAAGGAGACGGAGGGAGGGAGGGAAAGGGAGGGACGGGGGGGGGGGAGGGGGAGGGAGGGGGAGAGGGAGGGAGGGGGAGGGAGGGAGAGAAAGAGAAAGACAGAGATGGAGAGAGACAGAGAAGACTAAACATGGCTCTCCTTTATGACTTTTCTCTTATTTTTTCCTAATCATTAAATCAATATTCACTCTGTTAGAAAGGAGTTCCATTCTCCTGATTTTAAGAGTTACACTGAACATCAGAAGACTCAACTGCAATAAAAAAAACCCAATATTTCTTTTGGGGGGGGGAAGGGCATGAATGAAAGATTAATCAATACACTAAGAACTCGTAACTACTCAACCTCTTGACAGAATTGGCAAAGTTGACAGATTTTGCTGAAATGGATAAATTTACTTCTTAGATTAGAGAAAAGACATTTTCTACATTTATTGGTGTCTGGAAGCTCTTGTGGGCTTTTTGTGTAAAAATGAAAAAAGTGACCTTGTGATATATGGTTTTGATGATTAGACAGGATAGATTATAGAAAAAAAGACTAATATGATGTAACTTTGGAAAGAGAGGTCAAAATATATCTGTACTTTGCTGTGAAGAATATTGGAATCTACTCCTTTATTTTGCTTTCTTTCCTATTTTTCCTCAACTTTTTTTCTATTCTTGCACTTTTTGCTTTTTCTTTGACTTCTTTCTTTTTATTTTCTCCCTTACTATTAGTTTGTGTTAGCTTTTATCTTCTTGTTGAAAAGTTTTAATAAAAGGTATATATATGAAAAATTTGAAAAGAATCTAGCTATTGAGAAAAGTCAGGAAAAAAAGCTCCTAAATAATATGCTGATATCAAAAACGTAAACAGCATGCATACCAGCAAGGTATCCAATCAAGAGAAAGACTGTCTGTGTGCATGCAATTTGAACATGCATGCATAAAAAAGATGATGTTCTCTGTGGGACTTTTGGCAGGAAGCATTTTCCTTATTCAGGATGGGAAGATCATCTGAAATATGGATTTGGACATGACTAAGAATCTATTTTTTTCAGCAACTCATCCTATGCCAGCTCAAATCTTTATAACAAGGGTCTTCAAACTTGGCAAGTTTAAGACTTGTGGACTTCAACTCCCAGAAATCCTGAGCTAACATGACTGGAGGAGGAATTCTGGGAGTTGAAGTCTACAAATCTTAAAGCTGTCAAGTTTGAAGACCCCTGCTCTATAAGGATGGGCTCTGGTAGGTTGAACAGTACATGGGCAATAGAGAAAGAACAGGCAATGCCAGATTGTATTTAATTTTCTGATATGTCCTTCATTAAGTCCGAGAATCCACCCAAATAACTCCCTATATCCAGAAAGCTGGAAGCTTAATAATAATTTAAACAAAAATAAATATAGCTAGTCCTCAACTTACAACAATTCACTTACTGACCGTTCAATGTTACAATGGCACTGAAACATGTGCCTGATGACCGTTTTTCACAGATATGACCTTTGCAACATCTCCATGATCCTGTGATCAAAATTCAGGCGCTTGGCAACTGGTTCACATATGCTGAGTTCAAAGGTCATGCGGTCACCCTTCGAGACCTTCTCCCAAGCAAAGTCAAGGGGGGAAGCCAGGTTCACTCAACAACCGATTTACTAACTTATCAACTACAGTGATTCACTTAACAACGGTGGCAAGAAAAGTCATAAAAGGCAGCAAAATTCACGTAATAAATGTCTCACTTAACAACAGAAATTTGTGGTCATAAGTGGAGGACTACCTGTAACAAATGTATAACCCTAAGCCCTAAGCAGCTGATCCGTTTAATTTTAGTTTATTTGTGGGGAGAGGGTTCCTATTAGTTCTGACTTATATTTTGCAGTAATACCCGCACTTGATAAAGTAACTTACTTTCCCCAAATTACTGTCCTCCAGACAATACGTATTTGGGCTTCACATTCTGTAATTCCCCGTCCAGTATGGCCAATGGATTATCAGACTTGAAACCCAACATATTGAGACAGCACAGCATGGAGAAGGCATGGCAGAGATGCAATTAAATGATTTTGTTGCGTTGACAGGCCATCAAAGTGCTCCGGTGCAATGCTCAGCCAATTCCCATGATCTCTAAGCAGAGAGAGGCTGCCTGAAAATTCTGCTTATGTCAGATTCCTCTCCAGTTCATAGGTTCTATTCCTTTTGCCAATTAAAGGAATATATATATATATATATAAAGAGGGAGAGGGAGAGAGAGAGAGCAGACCTGGAAAGAGAAGAGACCTCATAAATCAGATCCTGGTCAGTGTACGCTATAATGGAGCAATGAGTCACTTGCTGGCAGAATTTAATGAAATTTCTCATTGCCTTCCCTTATGGATTCCAAATCTCTAAAGTGGGGTTAAGTACAAAGGCCTCAACCTAGTTGTTGAACCTTGTGTAAAATGGAATTCTTCCCCCCTCTTTCTCTTTCTCCTTCCTTCCACAAGAGGAATGATGTTATCTTCTTTTTCCTTATCAGAGAACAAGCACCAGCAAATCCGTAAGGATAGCAAATGGTTGCTTTGCTCCTGCAAAAGGTATATTTCTTTCTTTTGCAATTAAAACAAATAAACAAACAAACATAGAAATGTAACAGCTTAATGGCTGCTAACTGGAATTGCCCATTTCTAAAGTTCAGAAATTGTTTCATTTTGTAGCACAGTGAAATCTCTGATAATCCAGAACTAGATGATGGATTTTAGAATAACGATGGCAGGACTAACAATGGAAAGACTAACAATGGAAAGAAAATATGGATTACGCAAGGTTTATGCATTTATTTATCCAGACAATGGCTCCCTAGATCAATTTTGGCTTTTGAGATAGATAACTAAACTTCAAGATCAGATTTCCAAAAAACCCCAAAAACTGCTGGGTGTCTTTCACAAGAAGAAAGAAAAAGGATAAAATTATCCTCTGTTTCTCTTTTCCCTCCTCCAATCCCTGTTGGATCATATGTTATTTCCGCCCAGTTATTGTCTTCTCAATAAATGTTAAACACAAATGAATTATGCAGAGAATCTCTAAATCTTTGGTATGCCCAGGAAATGCTCCTGGGAAGCATTTTGTTGTCATTGGTCAAGGAAGGACCTCTGCTGAAAATGTTCTGATCCTGCAGAAAAGACTCTAGATCGGGGGTGTCCAACCTTGGTAACTTTAAGACTTGTGAACTTCAACTCCCAGAATTCCCCAGCTAACATGATCTTAAAGTTGGGAAGGTTGCTCTAAAGTCTGATGGGGAAGATCTGTGAGCTGTCTTGCTCTCTGAGAATTGTCCTCTTTTTCTCTTCCATTGAAAAGGTAACACCAAAAGCTGCTAGGATATTCTCCTACGGAGGATATTACTGTAACAACTGAAGATAAATGTCCACATCACTGATTTGAGTTGTGACTATTATTTAAAACCTCAAAGGTATCTTCTTTCCTTCATTAATTCCTCACAAACCTAAGTTGCCTGCACTAAAGTTGATCTAGTTAATCGGTTTAAAAGCAAGGCAGACGACAGAGACAAATGAATTAATAAAGAAACTTTATCAGCAATATGGCAAACTTGTCTCTCTTTCTTTAGGACTGGCATGTAAAGTGTATTATTTTGATGGGATAGGAGTGTTTAAAGTAGCCTTCTAAATCCTCACATTATCTGTTAGGTGGCAAAACCAGGGCTGGGGTTGGTATAGCAAACTAGATATCATTTGTAAGGGTGTCAGTTTTTTCAAATTCCCCCCTCCCTGAATGTTCTGCAACAGATTGAATAAAATCCTACTGTTTGTTCATATCAGTGAATGAAAGAAACAAGAGGCTGAGAGAGAAAGCATGGAAACTGCACCCCTCAGGTTGATAGCTTCCTTCAAAACATAAACAAATTCAACCTGTGAAAACCATAACTCTATACCCAAAATTTATCTATAACAAAGATGTGAGGCTAGTTTATTGAATATTTTCTCCAGAAGGCCTGAAATTCTTCCAGAAAATTTAGAGGGAGGCTTTAAAACAAAAAGGAAACTTTGACAGAAAAGACTATTCTGAAAACAAAAGCTCGTCCTTGTACCTTATAATTATGTGTGTGTGGAGATAGAAATAGATACATGGACATAGATATATTCCACAAATGTAGATAGTATAGAAGCAGTTCATTGGAGAAGCATTTCTAATGTTCTGTTCTGAACAACTTTTCAGTTTGAAAGTTGGTGGGATCATCTGCATTATTGTCTGGATGAGACAATATTCTTCAATTTGCTTTCTCTCAGAACTCTTTAGATGGTAAACACTTTTGCTGCAGCTCAGTTGGCTTAGAATTTTCCATCAGATCCCAATCAATACATGTATTTATACCACTTAACCACTGAATCAACATCTAAGCCCTTTAGAGATACTGGATACAGATATAGAAGCTGATAATGATTGCATTGACATACTGCATAGATGTTTGACAGATTGTTATCCTGAACAGTTCAATGCATATTGCTACCTCTACTCAGAGCTGTTTCAAGTCATTCCTGGCAATCATTACAACCTTGTATTTCCTGCCCTCTAAATGTGTCGCCCTTGAAATATTATACTGCAGTTCTTAATCACTCCCACCATACTGGCTATGCTGCTAAGATCTGCAGCATAGTAAGTTATAGATTCTTCTTTGACCATTTTTCTATGTAACCATAGACGGCCATTTTAGAAGGGCCATTCAACTAAGACATTTAATCCAATCCTCTATTCAACATAAGAATCAGATTAACCATTCCCAGCAGATGAGAGTCTAGCCTGCATTTGAACAACATAAGGATATTCTTTCCTTACTGTGCCAACTTGTTGTGTGTTGTGCCAATGAATATAGCCATGACAAACAAAACTACCACCTAATTATATTTTGTCTCATTAAATGCACATATGACACTGAACCTCTGGCTGAGAGAAGCTAATCATTTCTGTTAAACTGAGGCATTATATCTAAAAACCCCTCCCCAATATTCAAAGCCAGTCCATACTGTTGTGAATCAATAAAAGTGTATAACCTAAATGCAAATTAGGGGTTGAAAACCTGCACACTTGATTGGTCCTTGTACAACAACTTAGGATTGGGCCAGAACCAGTCCCTGATTGGCCACTTTTGGGACTGTTCTTATTGGTTAGTAGTTTGAACTGATTGCACATTGTCATTGGTTAATAAGGCAGCAGCTAACCCTATAAAAGGGTTACTGCTGCCCATAGCATTGCTCTGTTTCATTCTGATTCCTGTTATTATTAAAGAGTTGAAGTCACTGGTCAGATGTCGGGTCTCCTTATTCTCCAAACTTAACACTGGCGACGAAGGTGGGATACGGAGACCGAAGAGCTGACTAAACCTACAGAGCAACCTACAGAGCACGTGGTTGATCACGCACCATCAACGGCAACATGGCCAGCGGTGCCGTACCACCCGCTCCATTCAACCCAGAAACCAAAGACTGGGAGGCATACATGGATCGGTTCCAGATGTTTCTGGAGACCAACAATTTGAAAGATGCAACAACCGGGAAAAAAAGAGCTATCTTTCTAACTCACTGCGGGCCAACCGTGTTTAAGATGGCAAAATCACTTGCCAAGCCAGCAGAGGTAAAAAAAATGGACTGGGACGTCCTCGAGCCGCTACTAAGGGCTCACTACGCGCCTTCCGTGCCAACCCTAGTAAGGAGACATGAATATTACCAGAGGGACCAACGGAAGGGCGAAAGCCTTGCCAATTACATCGCGGACCTCCGGAACCTAGGAGGCCTCTGCGGATTTGCAGACTTAGAAGAAGCCCTCCGGGACCGCCTGGTTCTGGGCCTAGAAGACGGCACGATCCAGAGTAAAATTATGGCTAAGGGGGACATCAGCCTCACCGATGCCCTTAAAGA